TTAAGATGGGCTCTAATATTTAAATTTACTTTTCTGTACCTATTGTATATGCAAGAAAACATTTGTCTGAATTGGTATCGCATAGGCATTTTGTAGGTTACTGGTATGAATATTCCAAAATGACATAGAGTAGAAGCCATTCAGCAGTTTAAGGATATCATTTCACACTGGGGAACATAACTTGCCCATTCCCAGAAGAATTCAAAAGGCTACATTTTCCAGAAAGGATCAGATTTTTTATATCTTTGCTGCCCCAGAAGATTTCAGTGTGGGAGTCCATTGCTCTGTCTGTCTGACTACTCTCTATTCCCTGTCAGCAGCCCCGTTCCTGGGCACGCAGGTCCTCACACTTCCCCACCAGAAGGAGCCTCTGAGGGCACAAACTGGGCACCAACCCAGTTTCAAACTACTTTCACTTCCTCTGCACCTTCCTGTGTTCCAGGCCCTCGGGACTTTTCTGTCAGCTGACCTGATAAACCAACCAAAGTTAACAGACGAGCAGATGCCAGTTGTTTAGAAGAATTCAAGGTAGCTCTTGGGGCGCCTGGTAGGCTCAGAAGGTTAAGCCTCTGCCTTCGGCTCAGGTCATGATCCCAGGGTCCTGGGATTGAGCCCCACATCGGGCTCTCTGCTCAGCAGGGAGCCTGCTTCCTCCTCTCTCTGCCTGCCTCTCTGCCTACTTGTGATCTCTGTCTGTCAAATAAATAAATAAAATCTTAAAAAAAAAGAAGAATGAAAGGCAGCTCCTTCCTAAGTGATGTCATTGTATGTCATTAGGGACCTACGAGATAGAAATACTTTATTCAAATGAAAGTCTAATAATGAGAATTTCTGATCTTACATTGGTGGATGGAGAAATCCTTCCACGCCAAGGATGCTTTATACCCCCCCAGCCCAGATCACTTAGCAGGCAGTTGCCTATAATGCCCTTCACTTTGGGACTTTTCTCCTTCCACATATCCTCCACCTCCTCCTGAAATTGGCTGGAAAGTTTCAGGTAAAGAAGAAATGTGATTCTCTTGAGCCTTTGTCTCGTTCTGTACTACACTCTCTTGACTAGGCAGATCAAAGGACAATCGCAGAGTGGATACAAAACACTTAGAGTTTCACAAGAGTTGTCAGCAAGGAGAGTCTACACAAAACACTTGAGGCAGCAAGGGAGACAAGCCACTGTCTTCCAAGTTGAGTCAACACACAGGAAGCAGGCACCCGATCTCCTCATTCGTGCTCTGAGCTGCTCTTGCTAAAAACCTGCTGGGGAGAGTAGCTTACCCTAGAAGTCTCCAGTTCAGAACATAGGCTGTATGACTTACAAACCTTCCTGAGAACCTAACTATTGATTAGTTTAAGTCTTCAAAATATGTGTTGTATAAAATATATCTTGTGGTGTGTGTACATGTGGGCGTGCGTGCGCGCATGAGGAGGGAGGGAGGCCGTGAGAGAGAGAGAGAGATGGAGAGACAGACACACAGGCAAAAGGTATCTTTTGAAAGAGAAAGAAAGAAAACTGAAAATCATTTCACTCCATTTAATGAGGTCCCACTGGACTAGCTTGGAGTCCAAATCAAAATCTCAGAGGCCAACTCTGAAAGCTCACATTTCCGGGATCTATTCCGTCCCTATGGGTCAGAAAGCATCTGACATTTACTTCCACTAAATCTCAAGTATGTCTCCAGGGGGTAGACATCCCTTTGTTCCGAGAGAAAACTTGAAATGGCTAATTCAGCAGCCCACTGGTTAGGTTAGCCACAAGTATTACTGCGATCAGATCCCAAGTGATAGGCGGCTGAGGGAGCCGTGAGTGAGGTTCCCTGTGGTTCTGAGATCTGGGGAAAGTCAGGGAGATTATCTGCCACAAGAGGGAGCAGGAGAATTTGATCAGATGGGAGGCGATCTGGTAGAGGTTATGATGAGGGGTCTAAGTATGAGGTATGGACATAATGGAAGATGTTCTGGCAAGAGACATCTATCCCTCATAAGAAAAAAAAAAAGTAGGGGGGGGAATGAAAGAAGCAGGAAGAAGAGAGAGACTGAAACACGTTGATTCCTAAATTCTCAGCAAACATAAAGCAACAATTTAATTCTTGGCTAAAGGCAACATACTTTTACACTGCGAAAATACAAAACATGCAAGATAGGTGCTCTCCCACCCTCTTTTAATAGTGTATTTCTTTCTTCCAGATTTAATTTCTATTTCAACTTGGCCCTTGGTTATTTCCCTGCTGATGGGGTAGACTGCTTGCTACTTACCTCCATGCTATGCTCCCTCCACCTGAAGGTGTCATGGAGAAAGGGCTCCTCTCACTGAATTGCAAAGCAAAAAAATCAGACAGCAAAGTCCTAAAATGCACTTACTTTGAAAGAAATACATCCATGACCTAAATGAATGCTTTAACTTCCTCTAAAGCAAGAATGTAACCTCACTGGATCTGCAGAGCTTCTATCATCATTTATTTTTTCAAAGAAACAGATTAAATACAGAGAGAGAAAAAACCATGCATTTACTTTGCGAGATAAATAAAAGTCTATATTTGTCTGATAAAATCATGTTAAATATAGCTTACTAACAAAATGCTGAAGCTCTCTTGGAATTTTTTTTTTCTTCAAAAAATAGTAAGCTTCAAAGAGCAATTAATGTTATTCTTGCATAAAGTCCTGACCATACTTCATCTTCCTTTTGTTAATTTTATTTGGAGTAAAAGCACTGCTATCATTTCTCTTCTTCCCCTTCATGGTCAACAAAGCTCTTAATCTTTATCCAAAATGATATAGCAGAAACCATTTAACAGTGATGATAAAATAAATAGAAAGACTAGAAAGACAGATGGATAGATAGGTAAGTAGGGAGACAGACAGATTGATAGACGGGTAGATATAAAGCAGAGCCTTCATATTCTTTTAATTCTTTACTCTCCTCGTCCAGCCCTATGAAGCTTTCAGGACAGAGTAAATGAAGTCTGATTGTCATGGACACTTGCATTCTTTGCAACACTGCACAGCTCAATAGTCAATAGTGGTTTACCTCTATCCAGTTCTTTAATTCCCTAGTAATTAGTCATTCCATATTTAAGACAAGACAACAGCCATTTTAGGGAGAAAAAAGAAATCAGGGCTTTTTTTTAGTAGGTGGGAGAAATCTTAGCAAAATAGCCCTTAGAACCAAATGGAATTCTTCAAGCCGGCGGGATTTGTAAAATGAAAACCGTTTAAGAAAACACATCTTGCTTCTTGATGAAGTAAGTGGGTCTTCCCCCCACCTTCTCACTCACAAGGCCCCAAAGATGGAGCTAGCTCTCCCTTCCTTCCTCCTTTCACACCATCCTAAGCAGCCAATTAAGCAAGTTTAGCAAACCCATAGAGCTAAATCCAAGTAACACAGGATTTGAAAGAGGAACGTAAGAGCCATCACCCCTGTTCTGGTTTTGTTTTCTTATCTGAAATGAATGGAACATCTAGATACATTTCTACCCTCCTTTCCTGACTTGCTGCAGGAGTAGCTTTGAGAGAAAAAGAAAACATGCAAGTGTGTGCATGTGTGTGTTGGGGGGGGGGGGTGGGGGGGTCTACTTGCAGAATCCCCTCCTAGTTGCTCCCCATTTCCCCATTTCCCTTAGCAAATCTTCCCACAGATGCTGGGTTGTGGGTGCTCGAATTGCTCATATTTGGAGATACTCAAGCTATGCCTTTAACCAGATCGGATCAGAATCCACCTACCCTGCCAGCTCCTCCATGATCTGGATGCCAGGACTGTCTTTACCACATCTGTCATTTTTTAAAAAGCTTCTTCCACTACACCTCCTACTGATATCCTTTTTTCTCTTTTTAGTCTTTACACCTCCAGCAGGACAAAGTTTGTATTGTTATAGTCACAACCACTAGTGGCTGACTAGCAGGAGAGATACAGAGAGCCTGCAAGGGAGCCAGGCTAAGGGGGGGTTAAACAGATATCTAGTGCAAGGCATGACTTTCTTTCCAACGACTGCGGACACCATGCACTCTTGCTCTGTTCAGAAAATTCCTTGCTAAATTTGATCACTCTGCTTTCAACCCAACCACTGCCACTTTGTCTGGAGAGGGAAATACAAATTGCTAGCCCCAGTCATTCATCAAAACAGTCAACAGAATCCATGGGTGAGGGGGGGTTAAAATCAAGGATGCAAACATACTGTATTTTCAAAAGCATCCTCTGGGCAGATTTGGTTTCTTTTGCCGACTGTCCACCCATAAGACCTCCCTCTTCTTCATTAAGGAGGAGCCAAGAAGGATATCCTCACACCTCAGAACACAGACCATTTCCCCAAGAGCCAGCAAAGCTCCAGAGGCATATAATGCAGCTTCAAAGTTCCCTTCGAATCTCGTGGGGGGAAAGACGCCTGTGTGGGCAGGAACCCCAAGGCACACGCCGGCATAGGGCCCAGAGACGGGAACCCTCCAGCCCACTCCCCACGCTGTAATGCCCCCTTGCCTGTTCCTCCTGCCCCAGCCACAACTCCCTTCTCTCCGCAGTCCGAGGTGAAGGAGCACCCAGAGCTGGCCGGAAACGAGCCTCTCGAGCGTGGCCTTGGGGAAGACCCCAGGAATTACCAGGAGGTGGGATGACCGCGGAGCAGAGCCCAGTGGGTGGGGACGCCCGGATCCCCAGCAGCGCGGCATTCCGGGCGGACTTAGCTCTTCGCGCCCCAAAGCCTCCGAGCCCAGCGCGGCGAAGGGTGCAGCATCTCTCCTTAGCAGCCCTTTCTTCCTCCGGCAGCCGGCACTGGCAGGCAGGCACACTCACGCCCAGACGCACCAGCCCGAGCAATTTCGCTCCCCGAGAAGCGCGGACACCCCAGAAAACGTGTAGGGAGACACGCGCGCGCGCACACGCACACACACACACACACAATCCAGCAGCCGGTCCGTGGCCCAAGCGGAGGGAAGTGTAGCCTCAGGAACAAGAAATGGCAAACAGTTGGCCGTAGCGGACCAAATCCCTTCTCCTGCCCATCATAAGATCCTACCTGATCTGGGGGGAGTGTGGATGGATCCTTCCCCGGTTCCTCCACGCTAGCAGGCAATACGGCGCGCTCCCTCCTTTTAAATAGCTCCCGACCGGGAAGAGGTCGCTCCCATCTTCTGGGGGAAGCACAAAGCAGGCGGCGGCGGGCAGGCTCCCGAGCAGCGCCGGCGCGAGCGGGAGCGGCGGCTGCGGGCAGCCGGTGCGCGCGGGCGGGAGGCAGGCGCGGAGGCCGGGAGGCTGGGAGGGCCGGGGCCCGGGCGGCGCGCGCGCTCCCCCTCCCTCCCGCGCACACTCGCCCGCCCGCCGCCCGCCCGCCGCCCGCAGCCTCGCACTCGCTCACACGCGCGCTCGGCCCCCCCCGCCGCCGCCGCCGCCGAGCCCCGGAGCCCTCGGCGACCGCCCGAGGGGGAGAGCAGGCGCGTTTCTGGAGCCCCGAGCGGGCTGGGAGCCTTTCCAGCCTCCCAGCCTCCCAGCCTCCGCCGCCGAGAAGATTTGTCGGTTTGCTCCCGGCCCTCGGCCCCGCAGTGCGTTCTGGCCCCGCGCTAGCGCTCTCTCGGGCGCCCAGCCCATCGATGACACGCGCAGACGAGCGCTGCAACTTTTCTTTTCAACCTTCCTCGCCTCTCCCACCAGGCAGAATCCTCACCCCGTCTTGCCTACCCCTTTCTCACCTCTGAAATTGTTCATCCAGATATAGCTTTCTTCCTCCGCTTTCTAGCCCTCTGCTAAAGGAAGCTTTGGCTTAGCAAGGGGACCTGGGGATGTATCAATGATTTTCTCTGACATCCTCACTGTGTTTTTCCTACGTATAGACATGCACAGCAGTACCGTGGCCAGACGCTGCTGACACAAGCAGATAAGGATGTGGGGGTGAAGGGAGAGGTATTCCCCAACCGAGATCTCTGAAAGATTCTCCGTGTTGGTATTTCCCTCAAAGATTGCAAAGAGCTCACCTGGGAATAAAGACCAAGAAACTGTTTAATGCGAAAGCCCGTGCTGCTTCTAAACTACACGGAGGAGTAAAAGCTGAGCATTAAGGTTGAGTTGGGAAAAATCTAATGCAGCAATCGACGAACCATTCATTGGCCTTTCCAAGAGAAGCATTATCATTGCCAATACATCACTTCCCCATAATTAATAAAGGAGCATTGCACCAGGCCCTTGCTCTCTGGACAGCTCATTCATCCTTACAAATCCTTAATGACTTGGCAGGATGGAAGGCTAGACCCACTGTGGAGTTCACAAACCTGGCTGCCCATCAGACACACCTGGGAATCTTGTTTTAAAAGGCAGATTTTAGCATCCCATCTTGAGACTCTGGCGTTGCAGTCCTCAAGGGTGACTCCGAGCTTCTCTTTGTAAAGCACCAGTTGGCATTCACCACTGGTGTAGCTTGGCTGATGTGTGAGGGGTCAGGGACAGCTGTATGGAAAAGGTGAGAGGAACAGAGCACAGGGCAGAAAGTTAAGTCCTTAGGAGAGATCTCCCCACTACTTACTCTGGAGCTCTCTGGCAGCCAGGCCACAAGGGAAAGGAGATTCTGACTCCAGGAATCCCACTGTTGGACTATGAGGCTAGTGGCTCTCAACTCTGACTACGCTTCCGAATCTCCTGGGGAGCTTTTAAAAATCCCAGTGCTTAGGCCACACCCCAGGCTGATTAACTTGGAATCTCTGGGGGTAGGACCCAGGCCTGGGTAACTTTTTTTTTTTTTTTTTTTTTTTTTTAATACCCTGGTTGATTCCTACCTGTAACCAAGGTTGAGAACCACTGTTCCGGCACCAATATCCCTCAACTCTGAATGTGCATACGAATCACCTGGGGCTTGCGGGTTCCTCTGGAGCAGGCCTAGGATCTGCATTTCTAGCAAACTTACAAGTGATGTTGGTATTGCCGGGTGAGGTCTGCGCTTTAATTAACAAGGTTCGGCTGCGTCCACCTAATGGTTGGGGATACACGGCTTCATGGTGGAAAGCAAGCTTCTTCTTGTCTCATATATTCCCAGGAATCATTCTCCCCTGAGAACATTTTCCTTTCCTCGCTAGGAGTGAAATGTTCTTGACTTGCCACAGACTTTTTGTTAGATTGCCCTGACTAGTGGGTGTAAACAGAATGACATGTGGGGAGACAGAGAAGGTCACCATCTCTCTGTAAGAGTATGTCCTTAGCCAAAACTTACTTAGGGTACTGATTTCAAGAGAGTGTGAGAGGCAGACATTGGCTCACACTCAATGAAAGGGACTTGGAGAGAAAAGTGGCTGCTTTCTAAATGACACAGAGCATAGCCTGTAACTAATGACTCTCCCCACAGGAAATAGGACCAGGCTAAACTGCAGGCACTGAGCAGAAGAGCTGAATGAAAATGAGTGGACTACATCTCATTGGAACAGATTCTGTGAAAGGGGCGTGGCCTAGTCTTGCTATTAGGGACCACTTGGTGAAAGCTCCGATTTTCTCAGAAGTGTAAGCACGCTTGTGATGTGGGCGACACCAGCCCTGTCTGTATTCCAGTGGTGCCCAAATTTCACCTTATCAGTAGCTGAGAAAGCATTAAGACTTCATCTTGGTCCCCCTTATACCTCCTCTTTTCCAATCTAGTCTGGTATTGGGTTAATTTGAATTTGGTGGGAAAATCTACATAAGTTCCTCTCTTTTTTTTTAAGATTTTTTTTTTTTAAGATTTCTTATTTATTTATTGTCAGAGAGAGAGCACAAGCAGGCAGAATCACAGGCAGAGGCAGAGAGAGAAGCAGGCTCCCCGCTGGACCAGGAGCCCGATGCGGGGCTCAATCCCAGGACCCTGGGATCACGACCTGAGCCGAAAAGGCAGAGGCTTAACCGACTGAGCCACCCAGGCGTTCCTAAGTTCCTCTCTTTACCTAGAACCATTAAAAGGCAGCCTAGTACCTAGTGATTTGGCACCCCCTTTCTGATTTGATTCAATTTCTGAGTCCTTAATTTTTTTTTTCCTTTCATTTCTCATTTAAGGCATCTTTATAAAGGTTTCAGGGCCCCAAGGCAAGTCAAACCTTTTGCTCTCTTCTAAATGTCATACATGACTGGATTTATTGCAACAATTATCAAAGACTACATCACTGGCAAGACTCTAGGTAAGGAAACAGAGTGGTTTCTGCAGCCTGTGGCTTTGGAAAGAAGAAATACTCTTTGTAGGAAGGTGGTGATTTACATTCCAATGCCAATAGTTATTTCTTAATTGTATTCTTGAATCTTGATTGCCATTCTTTTCTTCAGGCTTAGGATTCAGAGATATGGGTCTTTTCTGTTAGGTATCTGAAGGAGTAAGGCATGACCATTTTGGGGACTCTACAGGAAAATCACTAAGATTTGATCTATTCTAAAGACGGTTCAAATTCTCATGAAATAATTCCCACAAACCTTCAGGAGAACTTGTAGCAAACTCACTTTCAGACCAAGTGTAAATGTTGTGAATTAGGCCCTACTTTTCCAACCAGTCTACAGACAAATTGGACATATGATCAAGCCTACCAAAATTTTATAAAATATTTAATATTTTGCTAAAACACTCAATAATTTTCCAACATAAGAAAACAAGTACTTTGTTGTAATTTCTTTCATTTGTACTTTGAATTACTTAGGTCAGAGGTACCATCCTTGTTTTTCTAGTCTTGGGTCTTCACAAGTGTGTTCATATGGAGTTAGTAATTCCCCACCTTGTTTCCTCCTCAACCAGTCTTCACACTCAGCTACCGGCTCATTCTTGAGCTCAGTCTGATACTCATGTCTACATAAGAAAATAGCAGAATAGCTCATCCCAGTATGGTCAGCACGAGGAGCTCAGCATTAGCCATTCTCCCACACTTAGGAACTTCAACTAGCTCACTGGCATGATTTGTCTTTTGGGCTTCCAATGCTGCTGATTGGATCCAGCGTTCTTTGCTTGAAGGGGGACTACAGGGACTTCTTTTTTTTGATTTCTAAGTGCTATTGTTCCTCCTCGCTGGGGTCTTGTTCCTACAAGTAAACATTTACTTCTCTGTTTTATTTTGACTAGTTCAGCACCACTCTGAATTCCATCCAGTAAGTGGGTCTTCTGCTGGATGGAAGCAGCCTCCCTAGTAGACTCACAGTTATAACCCATAATTCCTTCATTGGGAAGGGGTCACCCTCTTCCTCTGAATTTGTTACAGTGTTTGGATCAGGGACCTGCACTTCCACGTTTGAGCGATTTATCGTCGTGGAGTGGGCTTGTACAAAATCCTGACACTCTTGTTTTCCATTTCTGCCTCTTATCACATTGAGGACATTATCTAGTCAGTGTCCCACAACTTGACCAGTGAGTAACTTCATGGCAGAATCACTATTTAGAGCAATGAGTGGATCAGAAAAGAACCAAAACTGATTAAGAGTTAAGGATTTGGAGTCAGAATATCTGGGTCTGTATCTTACCTGTGGCCGTGGGATCTTGGGGAAGTTCTTTAACCTCTCTGAGTCACAGTATCTTTGTCTGAAAAACCTAGACTGTAGACTCTTCTTGAAGGAGTTATAGGAAGGATAAAATGTATATTATGGGCTTGACTTAGTCCCTGGTTATGGTAATTACTCAATAAATGATGCTATTGTTATTACCATTGTTGGTAAGTTTCCATAAAAATGATATTCATAAAGTAAAAAAAAAAGTATTTATATAGTTAAGTTCCACATAATCAGGCCATTTCATTATCAACAACGATTAGGCTATCATTTATACTATACAGAATTCTATACTAGAAATAAACCCAGGAAAATGAATGCTCTACACTTTGAGAGTACTTCCTTCCTCTGTAATGAAAGAAGCTGTTGCATGCTTTCTAATTCTGTTTGTACAGAGTGTAGGTATCTGTCTGATAGAGGGGAACCCTATCTGTTGTATATTGGCTTGGTACAATGTCAAATCCACTTATTCATGACAAAGACCAAAACAAATAATTGTTTATAGAAATAAAGTTGTGTTGATGTAAGCATGAGGTAAGTTATGTCACGACATCATCATCTCATCTCTTCTCACCCATAAGAACTCAGCAGTTCAGCTGGTAGAGCACTGGGGGGGGAGGGCTTCTCGATAAAAACATATAAAGAAGCAACTGTGGCAAAGGGACATTTAGACTATAAATACCAAGAGTCTGTAAGGCCTGTCTGAGAGTGCTCGGTCTGGGCAAGGTGACTCCTTCTCAACTAAAATAGCTCTCCAAAG